TGACATGACATAAGTCATTTGGGACCGAGCCACTAATTTGATGAGGGTCTCTCTCCCTACTATAGAAAGCATATGACTCTTCCAGTGTTTCACTTTGTGCCTCACCCTTTCCACCAAGTATCCAAACACGTCCTTTTCTCCTCGTCTAATTTTGGTTGGGAATCCTAAATATTTCTCATGGAATTCCACACTTTGCATTCCTAGGATTGCTGCTAGTTCAGCTCTCTTCCCCTGATCAATACTAGGACTAAATTGGAGCTTCATTTTATCCAGATTTACCTGTTGTCATAACCTGCTTGTATATGCTTAGAATTCTCTTCAGTTGCTCGCACTCCGGGAGGGCAGCATTGGTGAAAAGGATGTTGTCATCTGCAAACAACATATGAGAGATCACATGAGCTCTACTCTTTACTTGAATTCCCTTTATTTTCCCTTCCTATTCATTCTTAGAGATTAGACCAGAGATTCCCTTCAGCCATAAGAAGAAAGAGGTAAGGGATTATTGGGTCTCCTTGCGTTAGGCCTCTGGTTGGGACGAAACCTTCAGTTTAGTGATCATTCACTAGTAGAGAGAAAGACACCATAGAGGCGCAAGTTATGATCAATATGATCCATCTGTCATCAAATCCTAGCCTATTCATCATGTCTTCTAGGAATCCCGACTCCAATCTGTCATATGCTTTTGTAATATCAAGCTTCGTAGCCATCAACCTTTTTTCCCTTGTTTTTTCTACTGCATAGTATGGAAACACTCGAAGGCAACCAAAAAATTATCTATAATTAGGTGACCATGGACGAAAGAGCTTTGGTTTTGCACAATGATCTCATCCAAAATTCTTTTTAAGCAGTTTTCCAAAACCTAGGAGAGTATCTTGTATAGAACTTTACACAGAATGATTGGTCTGAAAAAAGATGGAGTGCTAGGGGATATTTTTTTTGGAATCAATGCAATCATTTTGTGATTCAAGCTCTGGGGGAATTCACCAAGCTCTAGATACCCCTGTAACTCTTTAGTCACATTGTCACCCACCACATCCCAATTTTTCTAGAAGAAAAGGGCAGACATACCATCTGCTCCAAGTGCTTTCATAGGTCACATTTATTTTAGTATCCCCAAATTTCTTCTCTAGTGAATGGCTTTAATAGGTATTCATGCATGACTTTTGTCACTTTCTTGGGGACTGAGTTCAACATTTGGCTCCCTTGGGTTCTAGGCCCACGTAGAGTGTAGCCGTTTGTAGAAAAATCTGGACACGCAGAGACCCCTTCATGTCCTTCGAAGACTTCTCCATTGCTATCTCTAAGTTTCCTTATGGTGTTTCTCTTTTTTCTCTCTGAAGCCCGTTTGTAGAAATTCTTTGTGTTTTGGTCCCCTTCCCTCAACCATTTAGTTATTGGCCATTGTTTCCACATAAGCTCTTCTTGTTCCATAATTTCATCCAACTCCCTCTATAATATGCTTCTTTGTTGTATCACGGGAGGTGCCAATTCTAGCTTCTCAACTCTTTTTAGGACTTTTTCTATATGATGTTTTCGTTGCTTAAAGATACCAAAAGTGTGTTGGCTCCACCTTTTCAGTTTATCTTCACTCTCTAATTCTATCCGTCACAGAGCCATTTCTTAATTTCTTTCATTCCTCATCAATTACCAGCTTAATCTCATGGTGGTTTTGTCAGTAAGCCTCATATATGAAAGAGGGTCCCCATCTAACCTCTGGCTCAGTAAGTTCTGTATAGAGGAACAATGGATTATGATATGATCCACTCCTCCTCAAGTGGTAAATGTTGGCTTTGTGGGTACACTGTTCTACTTTCATTGGTAGCCACCATTTTATCCAATCTGTCTTCAAGAAAATTGTGCCATCCTTATGGTAATTATCCAACGTGAACCTTCTTCCATAGTACTTTAGGTCTTCTAGTTGGTAGTAAGCTAAAGCATTATTGAAGCCCTCAATTTCCTGTGCATTAGCTACATATTTACCATTTTTCTCCCCATAGCTTTGCACAAGGTTGAAGTCCCCTCTGACTAACAAGGAAAGCTTAACTAAACCCTTCAGCTGCTGTAACAATTCTCAAGTTAGATGTTTGTGTCTTTGTTCTGGCCATCCATACATACCTGTCAACCTCCAAGACTTTTCTCCTTCTGAAATTAGCATATCAATGAGATTATTTGAATAACCTTTAGTCTCTAGCTTCACTTCAGACTGCCACAAAACCATTAGCTCTTTCCCGTTATCCTCTTCTGCATTCTCTCACCACAACTTCCCAAGTCTTTTTTCTTGTGTCACTTGGATCACAGTAGTCGTGCGAGCTTTTACTTGTGCTTGTCTTTTCCAACCTTTTCTCATACCCCATTTTCCTTGCCCTACTGCTCCCGACCCGATGTCAAATTTCATCAATGTATTGTCTTGTGCCACCTCAACTTGTATTGTCGGAGCCATTTTAGTGACTCTAGTGGATGGAGCCTTTGGTTCGTTTTTCTCAACTTTAAATGCCATGATGGCCATAGGCTGAGAATCTATAGAGTTCTCTCTTTCCTTGGTGGTATTGGTGATTATATTCTGAATTGGAATCCAGACTTTCCATCTCAAACTTCTGTCTAAGAAATGCCCAAATCTCCGCATCTTCCTTTTTTGTTGTTTTAGATAACCATGATCTAGGATCCAGTGGGTTGGCTGTCAGGGGCATAGGGAGGATCTGTTGTTAGCTGGGAGGGTGAAGGGCATATGAGTTTGGGGTGCCCGACTCTCCCACATGAATAGCAAAACATCGGTAGTTTCTCATATTTCACTAAATATTTCATCAGTTGCCCTCCCACATCGAGCTTCCTCCATCATCAAGCCACACACATAGAGCCAAAACATGTGGCTATCTTTTCCACCATTTTCTGTGTGCGCAGTTCAGCAAGGAAACCCCTAATTTAAATCTACACATCAACCATAGTGATGTCTTTTGGTAACAGTTTCATAATTAACGTGCTTACCTTGAAGACTGAGATGTTGTTATCGTAGTGCCAAGGGCCACCATATATAACCCGCCTTGTTTCTATAATTCATATCCGTGAACTGAAAAGCAAATAACATATCCTATAAATCAGCAATCTGAAAATCCTTACGTAGCTTCCACACTTTTACTCAAGCTATTTTCATCGACTTTATGTTTGGTTGTTTTTAGCTAGTAGTCTTCCAACCAAACCAAGGCGGAGAATCGCCTCCAATCTAACTACATCAACCTCAGACTCCTCTAGCGGCTCATTATAATCCTTAGCCATGGTCATCTTATTCAGTTGATCCTCTAGACCTCCATTACGGTTGGAGATTAATTGTAGCTCCTCTGCATGGTCTTTTTTTACTTTCATTATGCTATGTAATCTGTTAGTCGTCACACTCGATCTCCTATCTATTGGAATCACTCTCTCTACTTGATTGTAGAATGCGAATCAATCACACTGTTTGCGAGATATAGAGTATTAGTTTAATACTCCAGAAACTCTCTAAAAAACCCTAGACCGAGGCAAAATAGGTATTTAATCTCAAACAACAATCAATACGAGCAATACGAGTCTGATACTATTATATATCAATAACCCTAGTGTTTTCTTCTCTCCGAAACTCTGGCTAAAGGAGAGAAAAACCGCAAATGTTAGGGCCCGTTTAGTATTGTTGCTTGTTTTTGTTGTCTGTTTTGTTTTATGAAATTTGGAAAACCAAGAAAAAAAATAGTGTTTAGTTGGGTTTTTATTTTCTATTGTGAATCAGAGTTGCACAACAAGGCCCAAATATGAAAAACAATAATTTATTGCTTTGGATCTGATTCTTAAACATGTTGCACACGGGATTCCTACTGGTTGGGCACTTGATTTCATTAAACCATACCACTTTTCGAATCCCCACAGAAGCAAAAAAATTTCTTTTTTTTAACTCACCCCCCCCCAAACCCTACTTCAACATATCACTATCAGCCGCCCCCCATACCATTTTCCATCTTCTTCTCGACGACAGAGGAGTTCACCTCCGAAGGTCGCCCTCGCCCAGCCTCCGGCGCGACCCCTCCGCCTCCGCCCGGCGACGCCTCGCCTCGCCTCCGCCCGGCGCAGCCCGCCGACGCCCGCCAGCGCAACCGTCGTCGACGCCCTGCCTCCGCCGGCCGCCGACCACTTCCCCTCCATAAACGCCTTACTCCATCTCTTTTCTGGTTTTTAGTTCTTATAATAATAACTAAACGCGTTTTTGTTTCTGGTTTTCAGTTTTCATGATTTATCAGATTTATCAACTAAACAGGTTTGTGTTTTCTGTTTTTTCCTGTTGTGGTTGTACATCTGTTTACACAACACCACTGCAACCACAACAGCAACAAAATGATACTAAACGGGTCCTTAGCTTAGGAGCGGATCTTTTGGGTCTTCATCTTCTCCATCCCAAAACCCTTCCTACAACCATCGCCGCTCTGAAATATTAAGCAGAGGAGCGGATCTTTTGGGTCTTTCTCTTCCTCCGACTCTGTTTTCTTTTGTTTTTCCTTCGCCAAACGGAAAAGTAAACCTGGGCTATTATAACACCATTAAATGAATGTATAAATGCGGTGCTCTGTGCTTAACTTTCTTTCTCTCCCCATATTTACCCACTTGTACTTTCTGTGTGTCTGTCTCTGTCTCTTTCCCTGTCCCTCTGTTTTTCGTCTCTCTCTCTCTCTCCTCACGTGATCCTTCTTTCTCCTCCTCTCCTCTCCTCTCTCTCCCCTGCCTTCCTCCCATTTCCATTTTCCAATTCCATCGACAGAGTCATATATACACGAATTCAAAGACCTTCCCCTCTCCATCTCTCTCTCTCAGCTCAGCATACCCAAACCCAAAAAAACCCAAAAGAAAGAGACTTTTTTTACCGACAACCCCCAAAACCCAGAACCCAACAAATTAGCTGCTGCTGCTCGTACTCCTTTGCTTGGCACTCTCACTGTCCTCCTCCTCTTTACTTATTTCCCTTCTCCCCCTCTGTCTGTCAACACAAATAAAAGAGGAAACCCCAGCCAGAGACAAGGCTTGGCAAGAAAAAGGCAAAGACATCTCCTTTTCAGTATTCCTCCCCTCTGAAAAATTTCGCACAAGAGAGAAGACCCCTCCCCCGTCACTTCACTTCTCTGTCTCCCCAGCCTTGACTCTACTCTACTCTACTTACCACAGTCAAAGCAGATAAGAAGGCCAAAACTGCAAAAAAAGAGAAAAAGATAAACGAAAAACAGAGAGAAAAACAGGGCAGGTTAGTGGTGTGAGAGAAGTATAATAAGTGAGTAAAAGGGGGTGGGAGGAGAAGGAGGAAGTTAGCAAGAAAGTGAAGAGAGGGAATGCAGCAGCACCTGATGCAGATGCAGCCCATGATGGCAGCCTATTACCCCAACAACGTCACTACCGATCACATTCAACAGGTCCCCCTTCTTCTCCTCCTCCCTTCTTCCTGCTGCAATCTTCCCATGTTTTTCCTATTGATGCTCTGTTCCTTTCCTTTTCTCCCCTGTTTCCTGTGTCTGTGGCCCTCCTGTTTTCTGCTGCTGCTGCTGCTGTTGATATCTCCTTTACCTTTCTCTTTCTGATTCTGCCTCCTCCCTCTATTACTATTCTGTGTGCATAATATCTTTTTGGTGATGTTGTTTTCACTTCCTCGCTCTCATTCCTTGTGCTCCCCCCTTTTTTTCCCCTTTCCTTCCTTTCTGGGTTCCTTTTCCATTTTGGTCGCTTAGGGGGTGTTTCTTTTCCTTCCCTTTTATGTTGGATAAACTAGGTTTCGTTTCAGAGTTAGAACTTGTTTGGCTGCTCAGTTTCTGTCACTCTGGCCAAAGATTGATTTCTTCTGTCACTGAAATCCTGCTCTGGTAGTCTGGTGGGGGTTAGTTTTGGTTACTTCCTATTGGAGCTGCTCTGCAGTCGGCTGGCTCCTTTTTTTCCCTTACTTCTGCTGTCAAATTTCCCCCTTTTTCTTGTTGGGGCTGGGGTTTGTGCTCTGTTTTTTTTTATTGAGTTGCTGCTCTATTGTTTATTGTCCATCTTGAAGTGGTCGCAATCTATGTGCAGTGTAGATCCCATTATTTATTTGTTCCCTTGCTGCTGCTGTTTTAAAATATAGTAGGCTTATAACTCATGTCCTTGTTCTTTTTGTTCTTCACTGTGCTGCAAGCTTTACCTTTTAATAATTGGATATTGTCCACCGCCTGTTACAGTACTGCTGTTCTATGCCATAATAAAGACTTAATCTTTCTGTGCACTGCTTCTCTCCTCGTCACTGCAGCATCTCATGTGCAGGCTTTAACAAATAAGAAACAAAGATGCTGTTTAGATAGATTAAGTTTGGTGCCTTTTGTTCCCCCCACAAAAGACACTTGTTTATGATCTTGTTTTGAGATTCTATCAGCATGTATGTATATGAATGGATGGTGCTGTAGTATGGATTTGATCCTTGGAATGCTAATAATCTGCACAAACAACCATGATAGTTACAGTAGGACTTCGAACTCTTAAACTGTCACAGTATTAATGTTTACAGACTGATTGCAAGTATTTGTTCTAAATAAACAGTCACAGTATCAAAGTTGCCTTATGTGTGAAGATAGGCATGTTGGTTTTGTTTTTGTTGAAAGGGGAGGAGGGGGGGAAGGGAACAGAATCTAGGTGTTTAATCTAGATTTCATCGAACTAGCTTTTGTCATGGTTACTTACTCATGTAATACAAAGTATGGGAATGTGTGTCAATGAAAGGTGCAGTTTACAACCTGGCAATCCTAGGGTCCATAAAAAAACGTTCTGTTTCTCTCTCTCTCTTTCTGGGTTTTCGTTTTCTTTAATAATAATAACATATAGTTCTGATTAGGTGGTCCTTTTTTCTATTTGATATATGGTCATGTGTTTTGGAAAGCCAAATCTCTTTACTGATGTTGAAGTGGTCCTCGTTTGATTGCCTATCCACTATGGTCCCTGAAAGTTTTCTCCAGCTCTCTGGTGGTATTGTGTTGTTGTTTCCTATTCTGTGTTCCACCATAAGTTTCCACTTGAAGACTGCCATTGAATTCGGTACTACTCCCTTTGTCACTGAAGATCAGTAGTATTGACATTGGCTCTTCTTATGGTTACTGGCCTCTAAATCTAAACTGAAACTTCAGCACTTGTGTTGTATAGCTTTTGTGCATATCATCATTGGGTGGAGCCTTTTTGCCTTATGGTCCCCCTCAGGATATGAAACTTGTACAGGAAAAAGGAGTGTAGGATAAGAAAGTTGTGGAAATTCTGTCTGTGGTCACTACTTTGCTATATAGCTTGTGATGCAGTTGAGATTTTAGGCCCTTTTTAGTTGACTTGTAAGCTGCATGCTGTTACTGCCCTGGAGCATCACCCAGCTACTTCCCTGTTCTGCTTTTATTCAGCACCTAGCTTTCTAGGTGGATATAAGTGTACTATTGTTGGACTGTGGTAAGCTAGGAACACAATTTGTGGAAGTGATATGTTGATGTTCATTGAGCGCATGCCTAATGAAGGATGGCAACAACATTGCCTAATAAACTAGAGCCTGTTTTCTCCCCAAATGTAGTAGTGTAGCGGTAAAATTCATGGTTATGGTAATTGGTAACACCATCCTGTTGATGGTCTCTTCAACCTTGATCAAGTATGGATGTAATGTTTTGGATGATGCATTATGTTTTTGCCGGAATGGAAATTTGTTGTGAGAGAGGGAAAAGGAAATCAGTTTAAGTTTAGTAGTGAGTTATGGTGTTCATGGTTTACTTGAGAGTTCCCTTATGTCTTTCGTTGTCAGTGAACTCATTATCTTGGGTGAAGCTGCTCTTCTGAGATTGGAGAAACAGAATTCTTGGTTATACATCTCCCATTCGACGTTGTCATTAACATGCTTGCTTTGAGCATGTCATTTGTTGCTGAAGAACTTTCTGGTTTTGTTTTCCATATTACTTCAGTATCTGGATGAGAACAAGTCTTTGATCTTGAAGATAGTTGAGAGTCAGAACTCGGGAAAACTCAGCGAGTGTGCAGAGTACGTATCACTTTCCCTTTTTTCTGAAGCACTAATTATTCTGGACGAATATTACTACTACTACTACTACCATGTACGTTGGGAGGTAGTTGCTAGCAACATTAAAACCTTTTGCTCTAATCGATTCCAGGAACCAAGCGAGGTTACAGCGAAACCTCATGTACCTAGCTGCAATTGCTGACTCTCAACCTCAGCCACCAACTATGCACTCCCAGGTATAATTCTGTTCCTCCCACATGATTTATGGAAACTATATGCGGTCCAAAACTGTGTAACTCATCCATCTATAATTCGCTGTCCTGTTTCAGTTCCCGTCTAGTGGGATTGTGCAGCCAGGGATGCACTATATGCAGCAGCAGCAGCAACAAGCTCAGCAGATGACACCACAGGCACTCATGGCTGCAAGGTCCTCAATGATGTACAGCCAACAGCAGCCATACATGTCTCTCCAACAGCAGCAGACGTTGAACAGCCAGCTGGGGATGAGTGGCGGCAGTGGGACCTCAGGGGGTTTGCACATGATGCAGAGCGAGTCCAGCAATGCAGGAGGCAGCAGTGGGAGTGGTGGTCTTGGTTTTCCTGATTTCAGCCGAGACGGTAGAGGAATGGGTGGTGGTGGGAGCAGCAAGCAAGAGATGGGGAGCGCTGGCTCGAGCGAAGGGAGGGGTGGGAGCTCTGGTGGTGGTGGTGGAGATGGTGGGGAGACTCTTTACTTGAAGTCGAACGACGATGGGAACTGAGGACGATGGAGTTCAGATGGTAAGAGAAGATGATCTTGGAGTGATGGAAGCTGAAGAACTTGTTAGTGAAGCAGGCAGTTGATGAGTCAGGAAGTAGGTAGGTAGCTAGCTAGTAGAATGTTGGGGGAGCAAAGGAGGTGTAGTCTTGCTAGTTGTTAGTGTAATGGGAGAGGAAGAACTTTGATATATGTATGGGATGGTGGAGGCCAACTTCCGTTCTAGGGGGAACCTAGTGGCTAGTTGGATGAGTCAATTTCAGTTGGTAACTTCTTTTAAAAATTGTGGTTCGGAGACTAGATTCTTGTTGGTTGTGTTTGTCTTTTGTGTATCTGTAGGCCTCTTCTCCTCTGGTACGTATGCATCACCACCATCGTTTCTTCTTCCTGTCTTTGTTTCTGTGATATACGCCCAAGGAGGAATGGGCCTTAGATCACACATCTTGCAACTGTTGGGCCGACCACAAGGTTATCAAATTGGTTTATAGTTTATACTTGGTTTAACAAGTTGAATGGTTTGAATAGTGGTATAGTTAGTTTGTTTCAATTTATGTCGTTTTAACACAGTAGAAATGTCAAAAATTATAAATATCAAATGATTTTAATCATATATAAAATATACTTAAAATTAATTTATTTACCGTCTATATTCATATTTAAACAAAATAAAACATCCCAATAAAATAATAAATATTCATATTCAAAAATAATATTTAACGTCAATACCTAAACGTTTAAACTTATATCCAACAAAAAAACATGAAATTTAAATTTTTAATTAATAAATAAATTTTGTGTTAATTAAATTCAGTAAAACAACGTCATTTTGAATAGAGGTTTCCATTTTACTTTCTAACCTTTTTATTAAAATTTAAAGTTAAAATATTACATACCTACTTTTACACATTCTTCTTTTAACTTTATCTAAAAATTCATGTTTTCAAAATCGGACCAAATATCGAACCAAAAAATAGTGATTTATAATTTAGTGGGTAACTGTTATTGAACCATTAGTTAAGCGTTGATTAAACCATTTACGTATGTAAACATAATATATATTAGTAATACACTAATTTAAACGAACCTCTGAAGCAATATCGTGATTACCGCATATGTGTTTTTTTGTCTAATCTTTATTGTAAAAGATGAACTAAAAGTTCAGGTGATTCTAAACACTGAATGCTATGATTTATTGATAAGCCCCAAAGCCTAGGGTTCAACAAGCTTTGATCACAACCAAAACCAAAACAAACTCACAACGCACAAGTTGGAAATTTTGGGGTTTTCTACTCAAAACAACTCTGAATTGTACATTACACGATTGAGGCCTTTTATAGGCTTAAACAAACTCAAATAAAGTTGAAGATTACGTAAATTTAACCTAAATCAACAAGGAAACTAAATTACAATTGTAATCCGCAGAGGACTAGGAATCCTTATGGGACTCGGATTGCTGGCTGTTCGAGGGAGCTTCTTGGGGGCCCTCGAAAATGGTATTCCACGTAGAACCAAGCTCATCCAATGCCTTCCCTGGATTTAGAAAGTGTCCTAGTTTCCATTCCAACTTGAATCAACATTGGATGTGTCCCAAGCTCCAGTTATGAGGTTCCAAAGTAGGCACCTGGAACTCGTTATTTTCCTTAGCCAAAAATATGCAGATTCTCGGTTTTGAATTGGCAACTTGGAGAGCTTCAACCATGGCTTTCCATACTTAATCTTTTACTTCTAGGACAACCACCTTGTATATAGATACTCCACCTTCAAAACAAGCCATCAAACTCCCATTTCCATTGAATGGATTGATCGAACCAAGCCTCCAAAGTTGGTAAACTGAAACATAAAAAACACTTAGCCAAATTTTATTATCTTTGTTCCTCAATGACCTTGCTTATTGATCAATCCAAGGAAGCTTCAATGGCAAGCAATTTGGGATCATATCAGGCCCCCTATTGAAAAAGCTTTGCCCTCAAAGCTTGGGCCTTCTTTGCTTCAAAAGAATCACAAAATTTATCCCAAATTGGATCCCACGTACGCTGCTCGAACATCCTGGTCTTGAACTCGAGAGCACTGTTCTTCGTCGAGCATATTGGGGTTTTTTTCCTCAAGGATCTCCAGCACAATTTGACACTGCCCCGAGCTTCGCCTGGCTCCCAATTGCACTTCTGTACTGGTTGCCAGCGTTGACTCATCTCCATCAACATCGAATCGCTAACATGAAGTTTCCCACCATCATCTTCATTCAAACAGAAGGAACCCAGGATTTCGATTTCGATTTCGATTTTGGGGCTTTTGATTTCAGGTATCACCACATTCAATTGACGAATTTTACAGCTTTCTGGGACTTCCCTCATCGATTCCGCATTAGTAGTTTGGATCAAATCGTGACCAAACTCTCCAACCAATAACCCCGAATTTTGGTCGTGTTTGCTCGTTTCCAGGGGATTTTTGGCTAGAATTCGATCCATCGATTGAGGATGAATCGGTGCCAATGGATCCATGTGAGAGCTTCTCGGTGGTCCAGGGAAGGTTTCTGCACAGCGGAAATGGATCGACTTGCACCTCAAGTTTCCATCCAATAGCCCCTCTCTCCTCTCTTGTCTTGTCGTCAACGAGGAACAGAGCTGCTGCTTCTCGGGCCGGGGTGTGATTCTTTCTCATCGTAGAGCAGTACCAGCCTTCGGGCAATTAAAATTGTCCCTGTACCCTTTCCTTCATTCCCTTGAGCTCGACAGGACTCCAATTGCCTTTGGTCGTTACGAACCTCGATCGGTGACAGAGGTGTCAGTTTGAGCTTCTTCACTTCATGCTTAAAAGTATAGCAGTTTGATCTGCCATGGTGGGTAACTCCATGATCGTACTGCCAAGGTCTTCCCAAAAGGATATGAGCTACGTGCATAAAAGCTACATCACAAATAATTTGATCCTTGTATTGATCGATTGCAAACTCAACCGTGTCTGCTTCTTCACCTTCACAACTCCATGATCATTGAGCCAATGAAGGCTGTAGGGCTCGTGATGCTTGATATTACTTAAGCCAAGCTTCCTCACAGTATCCAAGATGACAACATTGGTGAAGCTCCCTCCGTCAATCATCACTGACGCTGTTTTCCCTTGAATTGTGCAACGGGATTGAAACAGGTTGTCACGTTGTTGAGTTTCAGCCACTGCTCCCACAGTAAGGGCTCTTCTGTTGACGATGAAATGCCCACCTGGAGGTTCCATCTCAATGTTCTCATCCACCTCCTTGTCCGAGAGCTCATCTTCAGCTCTCTTTTCCTTTTCTTCATCTTCCGAATAGTACTCACCATCTCGTAGGATTAGTGCTTTCGGATTGGGGCACTGGAAGGATTTATGCCCTCTTCCATGGCAATTGTAGCATTCCAATCGTCTCATTGAACCTCCAGTTCGGTCCTGACTGCTCTGCTAGGGAATTGGATTCAAATTCACAAAATGAATTGGGGTTGGGGCGTTTCCAAGCGTTAGGTTCCGATGGGTTTTTTGCAGGTTTCTTCTAGGCACATTTGGACATCATTGGCAAAGACATTAGTGCGGCAGTGTTATCTTTCTTTGGTTCAGGTAGGCTTCTGCATAGCTTCAACCACACGTGCATTACTCTCCTGCCTAAGGTGCCAAATGCCGACACGATGTGGCAGCTTCGGCCAATAAGTTTATGTCAGGTGTTTTACAAAATTATAGCGAAAATTCTTGTTGGTCGCCTTAGTAAAATTCTGCCCAACTTAGTCAGCTTGAATCAAAATGGCTTTGTGCGTGGTCGTTGTATTAGTGACAATATACTGATTGGTAAGGAGGTTATGCATTTTCTTAAAACAAAAGTACATGGTCAAGAGAAGTGGATGGCATTGAAGCTTGACATGGAGAAGGCATATGACCGTGTCGAGTGGTCCTTTCTTCTCTCTATCTTGCAGTAATTTGGATTCTGCCAAACTTGGCTCAAGTGGATAAAAACTTGTATCTCCACAGTCAGCTTCTTCGTCAACATCAATGGGGGAACATATGGCTACTTTAAACCAGAACGTGGCATTCGACAAGGGGAACCTTTCTCCCCTCTGCTGTTTGCTTTATATACCGAGGCCTTCACGACCAAAATCGCTCAGGAACTCTACTTCAACAGCCTTCATGGGTTGAGGATTCATCGTAGGGCCCCGGTCACTTCTCATCTAATGTTTGCTGATGATACTTACTTGTTTCTTCGTGCATCTATTCCTGAATGTGCTCAACTTTTACATATTTTTGAGGAGTATGGTCTCGTGAGTGGACACCGCATTAACCTGTAGAAATCCACCATCTGTACGAGTGCAAATGTGAGTGAACAGGAGAGAGCGAGCTTGGTAGCCTTCCTTGGGATGTCAATAGCTAGTTTGCAGGACAAGTACTTAGGCTTACCTGTACACAATGCAGTTAAAAGCGCGATTCTACCTAGAAGCGGAAAATGAGTAAAATCGTAAAACATAGAATCAGAGCGTAAAAGCGTAAGTTTTTGACGCACCCTCTAAAATAGCTAAAATATATTAAGTACAACATATGCTATGTAAAATGTGAGTGTGTAGATTTTAGATAAGTGAATAACTACATGAAATTCATAATTAAAATGTAATTTCTAACACATAAACTAATTTGTGTTGACTCAAAAGTAGAGAAAACTCATAACATCTTAATAATAAGCTCATAAACGTAGATCGTAACCTGTAAACGAGCTTGAGAATCCAAATTCTCATAAGTTGGTTTGAGTTTACATAATTACATATGATCAATTACCCATAAACTTTTATCGTAACCCAGGTAAGAGCCACAGGTGAAGATTAAGGGAGAAGACTGATAGAAGGTTAGCGGCTGTTGAGAATACCATTAGGTGTCTTTTCAACCTAATGTGAAGCCCCTATCTCGACACTAGTTGTAGAACGAGTAATGAATCATGTTTTCCTTTTTTTTTATTTTTTGCTGATATGTCTCCAAAATTACATCACTTTGAGCCAATTAGCACATTTTTATGAGATGATCAAAATCGTATAAAAAGGCTTCAGAATCGCGATTTTACCAATTTTAAGCGATTTACCCATGTTTTTACTAGTTTTTGTGACTAAACGACTTTAGGTAGAAACTGAAACGTTTTGGTGGCCTGGATACGTAAAAACGTAAGTTTTTATGTTTTAATGCGCGATTTTGACTACACTGCCTGTACATATACAGCGGTCTAAGACCAGGACGTTTCGATTCTTGGAAGACGAATTGGCAGCCCGAATTCGCTCATGGAAGACAAAATCGATGTCATTGGCCTCCAAAGAAATAATGATTAAATCCATCGGGTCTACATCCACAATATATGCCATGTCCGCCTTTCGTATTGCGACTATGTCTTGTCGCAGGATGAACAGTCAATTGGCACGTTTTTGGTGGGCTGATCAAGATAAAGAGAAGGGCATTGATTGGTTAGCTTGGCCTGAAGTGTGTCATAGTAAGTTTGAAGGGGGGATGGGTTTTAGAGATTT